TACTGCTACTGCTACTGCTACCTCTTTACTAATTACTACTATCCTGGATCCAGCCGACCGACCAACCGCCCCGAAATTAATCACACGGGCATATAAATACGGGACGGGGGGGGGGGGGCACTAATACGGAGCACGGTTTACTGGTTGCCACCCGACATTTTGACTCAAGCCGTGAGATTTTGTGCACATAACTACGACTCTCCACGATTCTGCTTGCACTGATCGACTTCAGTCCGGCACTGGTTGAGTTTACTAGCCGGTACTAGCCTGCAGAGTGTGTGCGATTCTGCTTGGCTGGAAGTGGCTATGCATGCTCAGATTCTGCATGACCCTCGTGCCAGACTTCTGGGAACTCATACAGCTGCAGCTGTAGCTACAAGCCCTCCGACACCCTCCGAGGCAGAAATTGTTTCTTTGTTCCTGAGCCATAAGCTCCGTACAATTTCCAGGTTCACCTGACAGTGCGCATCGTCCTTGCTGGGCGATGTAAGTCCTTCTATGCAGGTGGCCCTTTTTCACAACATGTGGACAGACACGGACCAGGAAGACTGCGGTGAAGAAGGCGCAGCTATAGGATGTTACAGGGTTACATACTGGGTTACATAGCACAAAGTGATGCCGTGCGCCTCTATCTGATTATACGAGCCGCCGATCATCCAACGTTGCATCTGCCACGCGGGGTCACGAAGCGCTTGCTCTTTGGCTATGTTTAGTGACTTTCAGACTACACGCATGGCATATGATTGCACGATAGTATGGCTGCATTATGACACTTTTTGATGTAATTGCTGTCCATCACTGCCAGGGGTGGCGAGCTCCGCACAGTTGTACTACAGTTACCACAGTATTAATGATATACCATGATACAGCCAGCCTTGTGCCTCAGACTTCATTCTGCAGCCATGATGCCTTTGGCATTTCGGCGGCTTTCGCCTGCCGCAGCTTGGCACTAAACGCAAACCCACGTGCAAGACTCATTGACTCATTCCTGGATTCTCCCTCCAGAGCCTCGACCCTGGAGCATGCAGCGCGTTAGTTTTCACAAGCTTGTGGATACCCGTTCCCCATAGTTGCTGTTCGGAATTAAGCTGGACCGCTCCGGCCCCGCCAAGGGGCCAGTTGTCGAAAAGGGCTGCCGAGCGATGGGTCGAGGGTTTGAGGCACATCAGGCTCCTAAACTTCCGACGCGTTGGGCCAGCCAGTCTCTCTTCTTCTACACAGCCGAAGGAGGGCAGCGGATGCAACTCCCCCTGCGCCAGTCTCTCTCTCTCTGTCTCTCTCCGTGTCTCTGTCTCGGCCAAGGGGGGTGGGGTTTGCATGTCCTAAGACATGAAAAGACAAGAACAGGCGTGCCCAGCCCACCTTGCATTTCTCTTGCAACTCAGTCATATCCAGAGGCATTTTGCCATCAGGAAAGATCTTCTCCCGGCAAGTACGTGAACTCAGCATCCGACAGCACATCATTGGAAAGCATGTGTCTAACAATTCTAAAAGTGCTTCTCGCTATCCTCATCCCAAATACTGCAAGCTTCGAGGC